GAATTAAAATAACAATACAACAACACCTATAACAACTTATAACCTATAACAATTACTTGTTTCGGATGAGATAATTCGTCCGGCGCCTCCCATGTGCCTTGGAGTTATTTTCTATGTTTCTAGTGCAATATCACTTATTTTGTTAAAAAATATATTGGAAATTTAAAGTATATACTTTGCAATAAACGGTCTATATAAATTTATGATAAAAAGATGACTTTTCCTATGGGCAATTACGTTTTGAAACAGAGAACTCAATTTTTCTTTTTTTTTTTCATCACTTATACCTTTGTTGTTTATGTAATTTTCAATGAATATAGAAAAATTAGCGTCACCGTTTTATTCTCTATTTTGTCCTTAATACCCTGCTTTTTGAATTATGTAAATATTGCTTTTCGTTCGGTTTTTATGTGCCTTTTTCCAAATCCTAGTAAAATCGTAAAATTCGGCCGGTTATCTTCGCATAAGCACCTCTTTTTCGCCCGGCACTAAAAGGGTTAAAGTCGGGCACAAATAACGAGCGTCGCAACAATGGGGGGCGCCCTTTGTGCGGCGCATCAGCCCTCCCGCGATCGGTCCAGAAAACAGGATCGACCCCGAGGAGGAAGAGGACAAAACAAAGCGAGCAAAACCGGCCGAACGCGTTCTATATCTGGCCGCGAGCATCCTCCGCGTGCGCGAACCACTCCTCTCGTTATTTTCGTACCTTTCCGACGAAATTTCCGCGGGTTTTACGCTCGCCGGCACTTTCGGCCTCTAATAATAAACCCACTCGCGAGAAGCCGCCAGCAGCGCCGCTAGATACGTACTACCAATAGCGTCTAGGACTAAACTTAACTAGGAGAAAATCCTTCCCTTGAGGCAGAGACGACCTCCTACGTCGGGGAAAAAGGAATCCCCATTGGTATTTTATTGAACGTTACCGAAGAACTATCCATTTCAATTGAAGGAATAATTTATTTCACCGGAATAAACTGGAACGAGCAACCTATCTACGGAATCATGACAATTTGTATTTGTTTGCGTCAAATGCGTTATTCCTTAGATCAACGAGATATTTCTTCGGTACCGCTCTAAGAAATAATGTTTTCGGTTTAATGGATACTTTTTCTTTTTTTTTTTCCCTCAGGGAGGATTTTGAGAAATTGGGATATGGGCGAAACGGACTAAATTTTTTTTTTTATACTTTTGCGAAGGCAGCGAAAAGTAGAGAGTCAACAGAGGGGGTGTGCTTCTTCTCTCGTTTTGTTATCTACATACACCTGCAGAGCATAATAGAATGAAATAACATATTGTATGATAGTAAAACAACTGATTGGGTGTATTTAATGTGAATCGGAATACATTTATTATGAACTAATTGACTGTGATTTTGCAACGTCGTGGTTCAATCTTGTGATACGATGTGGGAAGATACGTTCATGTGATATGTTACCAATGGATGTTAAAAAATGTCGATCGGCATGCCTAAACGAATCACCAGAACACAAGGAAAAAGTACACTCAAAAAAAAAAGAAAGTGTCATTCATAGAATAAATTCATTTTATCGCCTGCATTTGGTTCGTTTCAGAAGACGTTTCGTTTCAATGACCAGAACTAAATTCTTTTCCATTAAGCCGTTTCATTGACAACCGAAAATATTTTAATCGATGGATAAAATATTTCGGTTAAATGAAAACCTTAAATCCGGTACGCTCTACGAGCTCGCTCGACGTAACCGCCGAAAAAAATTATTAACCGAGGAATATTCTCACGCCGACGAAACATTTCCTCGACGACATAGCATGTCTATTCCATAGTTATAATCGATGGAAGAAAAAAAGAAGATGAAAAAAAAAAGAGAATCGTATCGTCCCACCAAAATACGTTTCCGCGTGTACACGGTTAGAAACAAATCGAGCCTTGGATCGGCCCTGGCCCCTCATCTGCGATTCCACAGACCAAGCCACGGAAACATTGACACGGAAAGTTCCATAGCCTCTAAATCATTAATGCGCCTCGATAAGTCGATAGGAAACGTCGACCGGAGCGTCACCCCCGTCGGTGTCGTCACGGCGAAACGAAAACGGCAACGGCGTCCCGGCTATTTTTATTCCCGGCAAATAAATTCCCCGGGGGCCCATAAATTCCGGAACTCATTCCGGGGTGTCCCGGCAGGGAAACAAAGGCTAAAATAGAGACCGGTCCTTTATTTCTCCCGGTAAAGAGCGCTCCGTCCCGGGCGCATTCCCGTCCGATCATTGCGGGAGAAACTACTGCTCGGCTGTCGACCGGTTCCTTCCAGCCACCCAATTACGGCTCTTTAAATCCGAATCCCATAAAGTATCACTTATCCGATCCGGACATGCCGCAGTGTAAACACACACAGCGGCTGGCGCTCGCATTTCCCTAGGATTTCCCCCAGTCAAAATGTCACTAGGTAAGCCCAAGTCGCTCAAAATATCACTCAACTCTTTGAAGGCACGGTGGTAATAAAAGTGACCCACCATTTTAACGCGTCAATATGCACGGTGGGACATCCTTTGACCCACCTCGAAATTTTGCAATTGCCACGAGGACGCGGGTTTATTTTTAGTCCCACTTACGTAAAGTAGGCGGCAATATCGTCAACAAATCTTATAAATGCCTTCGCTTGTGTTAGCAAGGTTCGACATCTATCGGTACAGGTTAATTAGCTGTTGCATAAGTAAAAGCGCACCAACTAAATCTAATCGATACAAACAAGCAAATCCAAACCTCGCATTTCATTAGAAATAAGAAGACGAGATTCGGAACACCAACCGAAACGTTCTACTTGTAGACGATGTGCGCTTTGTGGTACAATAAAAAAAAAATTTTTAAATTAAAAAAATGAAGTTCGCACGTCGTGGTCTTGTACTGTATGCAAAGTGCCCCCGTGCCTTGGGAAAAGGATGTGTTTTAATAAGTACCATTCATGAGCCCACGTGGCACGGTGGGACTGTTTGAGTCCCACCCTATGACAACAAACCTAATTGAATTATTATCATTTCTTATGTTTTTATGACGTTATTCTTTTATTAATATAAATAAAGCAATTTTCTTCGATTTAAAGAGAAATAAAATTTCCGTGCAACGTGGGCCTTTTTATTTTTTCTACAATTCCGTGCCTGAAAAGGTTAAGCGAGGCCAAGTCGCTGCAGAAGTGCACGCTACCGGCCGATTATCGTCGCCTAGAATCTTAATCGCATAAGATATCGCTTGTTCGGTGTCAATAAACCGGACCCTTCGCCGTGGAAACGCTCGCTTTATTGATTTTAGCTCCGAAATTACTTCGCTCCCCATAACCATCCAATAATCAGCCAGTTATAGCTGCTTAAACACGAGTCACCAGGAGTATAACTTAGTCGACATCAAAGACAGAACATTCCAATGCATAAATGATGTGGGATATAGCCGGGATTATTAAAAAATGTTATTGGAAATATCCTTTACTGAACAACGTCGGCCTCGCGATTTGCGCGCATCACTTATTGTTAATCGACATTAAATAGGATTGTCATTGCATAAAAAAATTATTACAAACATCCTTTATTAAATGAAATTAGCCTCGCGAGGCATTTTGTCCTAATTTGCGCGAATCACTTATTGTTAATCGACATTGAATATGATTTTCATTGCACAAGTGCTATGGGATGTAGTCAAGATAATTAGAAATATTACTAAAAATATCCTTTAATGAACGAAATCGGCCTCGCGAGACGTTCCGCTACGATTTGCGCTCATCGCATATTGTAAATCGACATTAAATATGATTTTCATTGCATAAATTTCTGTCGGACATACCCGAGATGATTAAAACTATCCTTCATCAAATAAAATCAGCCTCGCAGAACATTTCACCCGATTTACCCGCGGGTTTCCCTAACATTAAATTCGAAACAACTTTCCCTTCCGTCTGATCAGTAAGTTATTTTCCACTGACACCGCTGTGAATTCCTACACGACCCTCGTTTCCTCGCCGTACTTATAGCGCGGCAAATCTACTGGCGATGTTACCTCAAATACGGAAACGGGAAGAAAACAGGACTTATCGCCGTCAGCTGCTCGATATCATTCACTATTTAGGGGGTACTCAAAAGGGCCCTTCCATCGCGGTATCTCGCCGTCTCACATTTCTCCCTAGAAAGTCCGATGCTTTGTCTCTAGACTGGTGCTAAACCACTAAGCGAGAAATGTCCTCTGATCGAAACCACTGTTTTTCCAAATCCTGTCGATCTTCCACCCAACCTCTCCCTAATAACTCCCTAAGTTAGGTTAGGTACGACCTTAACTCAGAAGAACCGATCTACCTAATCACTTCCACCGACGTTAAAATGAGCAAAACTAAATAAAAGAAAATATGACACCATACCGAAGTTATCACTTTCATAGGTTCCACAGGTCAGGCTAGATCATTCCGAGTATCCTTTCCTCGTTCCCTCCCGAAAACGGCAAGATGGCGTCGCGATCCGTCACGCGCCACGTGTTCGGCTCGCGGATTTCCTCACCGATCCAAACTCGCGCTGCGAAGTAATACCCGTCCATTCCATTGACCCTCGAATAGCAGTAATACCTAGAAGCGTGAGTAACCCTCATGACCGCCTACCACCTGCGAGGCGGAGTAGCGCGAACCTCTCTATATAATATGACTCCTTGGCGGAAGCGACGGCACGCCAGTGGACAGGCGAAACTCATTAGCATCGATTCCAGCCCCGGAGCACCTCGACTACACGTTCGACCATCGAGCTTCCCTTCCACTACCTTCCCAGCTAGGCATTCCAGCCGGCCATTTCCACTGCGCTCGCTACTGCGCGGTAAATTCCCGGTCCGATAATCCCAGCAATTCCTCCGAGGAGATAAATCCGCGCAGCGTCCAATCCGCGCCGGATTCGCGGGTCGTGTTTCCCTTTCATCGAGTTACATCACAGAGCTCGGAGGCGAGGGTCGTCGATCCTCGCCCCGGGGAGTAAAGTGAGAAAGAGAGGCCGCAGTAGTTTACCTTAAGAGAGGTCCAAGAGGCACGAGTTGCGTCGGTGGGGTAGAAGGGCGTCCCGCGGCCGAAAGCGGGAGGCCGCGTGATTGGCTCGCGACGAGTGGCACGGCGTCCGCGGCGGCCAAGATGGCCGAAATCCGCGCTCTCTCTCTCTCTCCTATATCTCTATCTATATTCACCGGGCATCCTCGGGACGGCGGAACACTCCGACGGGCACCCTTGGCCTCGCGATCACCGGAACTGGACGGTCGACGGTACAGGCCCTCTCGGGGGGGCGCGCGCACGCGCGCAGGCAGCGGGACGCAGCGGGAGAGAGACGCGCACCGGGTGCGAGACGAACGCGGACTGCCGCGCCGCGTGCCTCTCGCCGCCGCGTAGCGCGCGCCCCTGGCGCTTCCCCTCGGCCGCTGCGCGAACTAGCGGCGCGGCGGGGCGCCCCGTGAGGACTATTTTTAGACCCGCCGCCTCCTCCTCCGACTCGGTGGTTTTAAGGCCGTTGCGTGTGAAAAATCCGAGGCGTAACCGCCGAGACCGCGGCCGCCCTTATGGGCAGATCCTCTTTTGATTCATGAGTCCGCCGCGGATAGGTGTTAATAACGTTAAACTGCGTATTATATACGTGCTGTGACATAACGGTATACCTCCGGTAGGTACGTGCACGGACACGTGCGCCATTGTTTTCCGGGAAAACCGGGACTCGCGTGTTCGGAGTACGAGGGGAACGTGAAAAGGAACTTTTCATGTTTTTCCGTTTACTTTTAGGGAAGTACGGCCAGAGCGGAGATTCAGATTACTTTTTAAAAGCCGCGTCTTTTAGGGCTTGGATTGCGGATTATTTCTGAGTTTTTCAGATCCTTTTAACGGGATGTAAGGCTATGAACTTGTCCTTTCACGGAAGTATCTAATACTCAAGTTATCTTTAGGAACATATGGATGTTGCCGAGATTACTTTCAATGGGCGCGTGTTTTAAGACATAGATTGCGGATTATTTCTGAGTTTCTGAGATTCTTTTAAGGGGATCTAACTCTATGGACTTGTTCCTTTTTACCTTTAAGGTGGATTTTTTGGGGTGTATCTCAAGGAGGATAATTTTAACGGAAGAAGAATGAAAAGAGGAGAATAGAGAGGATGCTCTTTCTCTCTATTTCTCACTCGGTGCTTAATAAGACGCCGCGGTATTGCACTGCGCAGTTATTTCAGGTAAAATGAGAGATGGATCGAGGAGACTGCCTCTTTGGGCTCTCTGTTTCAGTTTTCTTAGTCTCCGTAGACCTATGTACATCCTGCGTACATGGTTAGGATTTTAAAAGCACGAGAGTGCACACCGTTCCTGCCCTTTCTCTCTGTTAATTTTATCTAGCGCCACAATGCTCCTTTGAATTATTTTCATTTCTTCTGCTAGTCAGATCAGCGGGTGGAATCCATTCTACAATGCGTTCATAACACAGACACCTGCTCCATTGTTTTCCATGAAAAGCGCCGGATGCGCATGTTCGAAGTTGTGGAAAACTCGACCGTCATTCTTAGTTCGTTAAAGCTATTGAAAATAACTTGAATTTTAATATAAAAAATGCAATTCTCATAAATTCTCAGGGAATTTAATTATCGGTTACATTCTCGGATATCTTACCAGGGCAATATATCGCACTAAAAGCTCTACTTCTAACCTAAGGCGTCCTAACCTCCACGCGAGAGGCGAGCGCGTATTCGCGGGCGAGGTGCCTCTACGTAACACGCACACTCCCGGGCGTTATTGATTTACGGCACGTCCGCAAGGTGGCGTTCATCGAAGGGACTCCCGCAGGTGCAGGGTGATCCCCTTGGAAACGCGACGATAAGCCGAAGGTCGCGACTGATACGAGCCGGCCACGGAATCTGGAACGGTCAAGATACACACACCGATGGGCTATTTCTGGCGCGATTAAACTTAGCCGACAGATAGGATTCTCCCGTGGCTCCTATCAACACCTTTCGACGTTCGTGCCTGAAATTGGACGGCGCCATTCGGGTTAGGCCGGGGATTTTCTTCCTCATCCAGATTACTGGCGATAACAAAATATACGATACAGTAAACCCCCGTATAAAGGGAATTCCTCCAACGCGCTGTAAAGATATCACGACGACTTATTTATATAAGTCTTGTACAGGGCGTTAATGATATTGGGACTTTTTTTCTTTTTACATAATTTTATACAACGCGATATATTATTCTTAACACAAAGCGAATTCCTCCAACGCGCTATGAAGATATTGAGACTTTTTATATATTTCGTACAATGTGCAATTATATTATTCTTAACATACGGGGGAAATCCTCGAATAACAGGATTTCGTACAAGTGAACGAATTAACCGCGTTTTCTTATGTCAGTATTAAATCAATTAGAAAAACAATATTGCTTAAACATTGGTTTTCGTACGTATAAATATTGGTCGTGTAACGAATTCGAATATTTACCCAATAAAATTTGTGAACATTTTGGAAAATTATACCAATATGCGTAATTAAACATTGAACAGTTTTAAGAGAAACAATGTCATGGAGAAACTATGGATGAGAATACAAGTTTTTAGGTTTTAAGTTATAAGTTGTTAGGTTGGACAAACAAAGTGAGTATAATACGATGCCATTCGGTCAAGATAATCCAATTTTAACAAATAGTGTATGTTTTCAACGTCTGTCCCCATTCTTGAGAATTCCCTCGTTTCTGCCGTATTTCCCTTAAAAGAGTCGTTACTAGTTATTCCACAAAAACTATTGATGGGAATATAAGTTTTTAGGTTATAAGTTATAAGTTGTTAGGTTAGACAAACAAAGAGAGGTATAATAAAAAGGATAATACGACGCCATTGGGTCAAGATAATCCAATTTTGATTTAAGGGTTAACAAATAGCGTAGGTTTCAACGTCTGTCCCCAATCTTGAGAATTCTCTCGTTTCTCCCGTATTTTCCTTAAAAGAGTCGTTACTAGGTATTCCATAGAAACTATTTGGCGACGTAACTCCGTGCGAAGCCACTCGACAAGTGGAGTGGAGTTCAGCCGGGAGCCCTAGAAACGAGCACGCGAGTAGTGGCATGTTTTGATCGTACTACGAAGCAAGATAAGTGCAATCGCGTAGTGTCATTAACGCGACAAAGCGCGGCACAGAGGATCGCCGGCTGATTTCAGGGAACGAAATCGCGGTAAACAAAGGGACCCGTCGATAAGGCAGTTTCCGGGAGCGGTGCACCGCAGCCCACGGACTTCCGACAGAGGGCATTTTTTGCAATCCACGGAGATTACACACCCGCGAAGAATCCCACGTCAAGCCGCATTCTCGCGAGAGCGGTCTCGGGCAAAACCTTAAGCCGCATCTCCAGAGAAGGCGAGTCGCCATTGCAATCCTGGCCGAGTAAACGTAATGCAACGTAAAGACTTGAGACGTAAGAGAGGACATCGCTTGGTCTTTTAGTCCATATTGTTATTTCAACAGTGGGGCAACTTATCATGCCCTCGGTACTAACTGGATTAGATCCTTCGCGTTCTTCATTTCACGAACGATAAGCCTCGTTGTTTAGGCGTGACAATCTTGCTGAGATGGAGTCAGTGTGCCGATAAGTCGTCGAGCTGTACCTTTTGGTACGAGATTGTTATTTTAACAATGAGTAGTTGTCCGCCTTGCGAATATCCTCAGCTTAAGGTGCATTTTTGTGGTGCCACATTCTTTATTCCATGAACGATAAGTCTCCTCATTTCAGGGTGCAAGTCGCAGTGCAGTTAAAAAATTTTCGCTGTACCTAGTTAAGATAAAAGTTTCATAAACAGACGTTTTTGGCACCACTTTCGGATCACCCTAATCCACCTTACGAATGTCTTCAGCTTCAAATGCTTCAATTTCGCTTCATGACCATGTATACGTAGCAAATTATACGTAGCAATCTTAATTTAGGGGTGCAAACTTCACAGGCGGAGTCAAATTATTCACGAGTACCGTCACATCTTTTGGTACAATCCACATTATTTAAGAAACGAGTATAAGTACACATTACGGATATTCTCGGCATTAAGTGGATTAGTATTATCGCGTGTTCAATTTCCACGATAAGCCTGCTCGTTTAGGGGTGCAAACCTCGAAGAGGCGAAGCCAAAGCGTTCATGAGCACCGAGTCATTAGCGGGCACTTCAGGGATAAGCCACGAATGCGGTATAACTGTACAGTAAGTACTAAACCCGCAATTTAGTGCGAAGCCGGGGAGTTTCTTGATTACATCAAGGTCACATGTCACTGGCTCCATCGATCGGCCTTTAATAATATCCCATCGCGTGCCTATAAATAAGTTAGTTAAACAAGTTTCCACCCAGCCTTCGGGAGATTTCCTTCCTCCACTTGGCGGGGTCGCGAAGGAACCGTCGCACCGGAAATAAAACCTTAGACTTTATAGGAGTCCACATAGAGAGTGACATCGGAAAAACGTTTGCGAAAAGCTTCGCAGTCAGGAAGGACTCGAGGGAAATTTGCGGATTAAGTTCCCCTCGGATTTTACGGGAGTACTTCCTCGACCGTCTCTAATCCTTCCAGGGTCCCATCGCCAGGATGTTATTTCCGTAAAGTCGCTCGATATGATGTGCCAAGTTATTCTCAGCGAACAACCCCTCTTAGACGCCCTTAAGGTGATATGAAAGTGTGATATATACACAAAGAAAAGTCAAGATATTTATGAAATTTTTCTCCAAGCTGGGTGCACCGAATTATCGGAAACTTTAACGCGTGATTATGGAGGCTCTAAGGAATAACCCGCTGCTCGTGAAATTCATTTTTTCGAAAGACATTTTGTACTTATCTCGGAGAAGAAACCAAAAAAGGTATATTTTTTTTTATCGACAAATGAAATTTCACGGGCAGCGCGTTTTTCCTTAGAGCCTCCATAATCACGTGTTAATGTCTTAGGTAATTTGGTGCACCCAGTTTGAAGAAAAGCTTTATTTTGACTCTTTGCTACGTATAGATGACACTTTCATATCACCTTAAGGGGATCATTTATGAAACTTTTCTCCGGACTGAGTGTACCCAATCGTTTTAAATTTGATAATGTGAACATGGAAGCTATGAGCAAGGTCCTGACACCCATTAGATTTCAATTCTTTCTTAATTTGTTTATATATGCTTTCATAATTTTTGATAAAAAATGAAATATGAGTTTCAGGACCTTCCTTACAGTCTCCCTATTCACGTAGTAAAGTTTCAAACTATCGGGTAAACCGAGTTGGGAGAAATGTTTAATAAACAAAACCTCTTCTATGCCGCTTTCACATCACCTTAAGCTACGCGATAGATCGAGAAGCACCTGTT